ATAATTTATAACTTTATTTTAATATAAATGCATTAATTATTATTATTATTATTTTATTAAAATTTTGTATCAACAAAAACTGTAAAAAAAAATACTTTGTGTACGATACTGCTTCAGGAGTCAGTAGTTATGTATAACTCATGCTTTCGTATACCTACGTATAGCTAGGTATGATTTTATTACTTACTGTTTAGTATGTAAATCAAATTGAACGTCTGCCAAAAATTGTATTCAACTGCGTAATGGCCGATATCTTATTAAGTTCCATTGCAATTTTACAACCTTCGACTATAACTTTTATGTCACAAAAATAACAAGAGCAAAATAATTCCGATAAAACCATAGTATATTTTTTACAAGCTATACTGATTAGTGTATAACTTTAGAAATGATACATTAACACTAACACAAATTGACTGGTTAATAAAATATAAGACTATTGTTTATTACGTTCATTGCGTTCTTAGATCAGTATTCACATATTGTAGAATCGGTCATGTTATACATATATATATATATATATATATATGGATTGATTTTCTTTTATTCGTACTGTTCAATTATTAAAATAATAATAATTTATTTGTACATTTTTAATTATTTGATATTGATACTAACAGAGTAACTATATATTTATTCAATAATATCGTCTGACGTATATACAGTAAATATATTTTCTATTAGGGATGAGAAACCCTTCTTTCATCCTTACTAAACGTGTACTTATACACGATTTTCAATATCTTCAGTGTTATTCTAGTGTGTTGTGTTACAACTCGAAATAATTAATGTCTGATTTATTCAAATTAAACGGCATTCCAAAATTTGTGTAGGTATGACATTTTGAGGTTTTGCAAATTGTAATATAATCATTTAACCACTACAAGGTTTATCTGCATGTGTGTACAAAGCGTATTTGTATTATGTGCAAAATAATAGAGGTTTTGATGACATCAATACTTAAAACAGTGATCAATGTACCCGAAACAGTATAAATCATTTTATATGACCTCCAAAGGAACAGAAATAATGGCCATAATTCTGATAAAACGTAGGATACATAGGTACTACTAAATACCAGTATAGCCCAGAAGTAGTAAATGAATAATATATTTCCATCAATAAAATTATTAAGATGGTCAGCGGTGGGTGGTTGTTGTAAATTGAGTATTTATTATAATATAAGACAAAAGAATAATTTTTAGTTATCTCTACTAGATATGTTTACTAGATATGATATTTATATATTGGATTAAAATACATAAATATTAAAAATATAATTTTAAAATTATTTAAAATAAAAATTAGATAGTTACTGAATTTATTTTAATATTTCCAGATTGAGAATGTGATTTTTTAAAACCATATAAATTGAGCCATACAAAATACGAACATTATACTGTCAATTACAAATTTTCATTGTGGTTAATTTTCTATTTTTACTTTTATTGTTTATTGTGATATTTTGCTATTTCACTAGTTTGTAAGGTTTTTTTTTTTTAAGAACAAATTATAATCTTTATCCAAGTATAATAATAAGTTACTTGTAACTTGTTTTTTGACGTTTCACTATCCACCAACACCGACAGTAAAAACCATATCACTGGTATACATTTTATAATAACTACAATAAATAATCAACTTGCTCATCACAACGACATGTTAACTATAAATATTCTTTTAGATTTTCAATTAAAACAAAATGTATATAATTAATTATTATTATCTTTGTTGGTTACCGGTCAAATGAATTAAAGCACTTCTCAATATTCGAGAATGCTATTTTTATAGGAATTGCTTACGGCCGTAGTGCTTATATCTACTATATTATGCTAATACTAAACAAATTAATTTAATGAGGACAGTGAATCGTTAAAATAATAGTTATATACTGTTGTCTCATTATAAAATGGCTTTAAATTACGTATTGCACTTAATTTATCAAATTCTTGGCTAAGCGATGTATCAGAATTTATTAGATATAATACCTTACAATATTAATCAAGTAAATTTAAATCGTAAAAATTTAAGCAACATATTAATTAGGTCTTAATCTAATTACGAATATGAATACAGAAATGGGATTATTAAACTAAGTTATGAGAAAAAAATATGTAAAGTTTTTTGTTGAGAAATATCGCCTAGGCAATTTTGTTTGTTTTATAATTAATTAGTACACGTTGCAAATTGTCGATAGGTAGGTTCCATTTGACATTTTTTTTTTAATATATTCATAGATAAATAAACTGTGGTTTCTTTTAATCGTGTAAATACGATTTTAATAATGTCATTATTCTTTAATATTTTGACAAAAATCTGGTTTTTCTAGGATTCACGATTTTTCACAATTTTAAATTAAAGGCAACAAGAAAGACTGTCTATAATAATTTTTTTTTGTATTAATTAAAATCATCACTGGCTACGCTAACTAAATATAAACATTCAATGTTGTTATAGTCTGTATTCAGTAAAACCTGCCATAATAATCAGAGCTGGCTTAAGGTATAAGCGAGATAGGTACTTGCCTAGAGCGGCACTTTAGTAGGGACGACATTTTCAAAATTGACTCGTACTTTTTTTTATTTCCATCGGTATTCGATATCAATTTTTGAATACTTATACAGAAACAAGTTGATATAATTATACTCCAATATTTATATAATTTTTAGAATTATATTGACTTAACTTGTAACTGCAACAACAGCCGAGAGGAGTTTCACAAAATTTAAAATATTAAAAAATTATTTGCGATCTAATTTATCTCAAGACCGATTAGTCGATCTTTCTACTGAAATCGAAATCACTGAAGAATTAGACCTGAGTAAACTTATACAGAGCTTTGTTTCACTAAAAGTAAGAAAAGTCAATTTTAAATAAAATTAAGTTTGTTTTTTTTATCAATATTATTATAATAATAATTTGTTTAATTTCTTAAGATTCTGACAAAGGTTTAGTTATTTTTAAGGTTAAAATTGAAAAATATTTTAAAATCAATAAATATTTGATCATATGAATTCCTAAAATCTAAATATATGCTAAATACAATAAATTGATAATAAATTATATAACTACAAATTTTACGTTAAAATAAGAAATATATAAAAATATTCTGATAGTCTATACACTACTTGTTATTTCTTTAAAATAAAAAAAATTAAATATTTTTCATGTAGGTATGTCACATAAAAATAGTGGAAGGGGCTATGTTAAAATTAGAGCCCAATTTTATTTTTCGAGGTAACAAAATTTGATTTTGCCTAGTGCATTATTTTTGCTTGATTATGATGAAGTTCTCTCAATCAGTTTTGTTTCACTGTTCAATGTTAAAAATGATCTAAACTTAATTTAATAAATCAATTATTTCGATCAAGTTAATTCATAATTTTACCGGTTCAATGTACATTTTTACTAACTACTAATTTTTGACATTTTCTTAATTTTTTTTTTTTTTTTGAGTTTTATTACATTTCCCTAATTAATTTTTGATTATACTTTTTTTGTAAATTTTTCAAACAATCAATTTTTTTTAAGTCCTTAAGTATTAATATTAAGCAATCCAATTAATAATAATAAGTAAATATTTAATGCCGTAAAATTAACAATAAAATATTTTTTTTTTTAATTTATTTAAAAGCATAGTTGAATTATAATTTCATTGAAAGCAGGTCACGTATAGAATTTAAATAAATTTTATATTTTACACTGCGCTTAGATACCCGTAACTATTAATAATAAGTCGATTTTTAAAGCCATGTCTAGTACAATGTTCCAATACCTGATTGAATTTCAAATTGTTAAAACAAGTCAAATCGTATTGTTTTGTGTTCTACAAAAATCAAAACCCTTTGCGCAGACAATATTAATAATATGTCGTTCTACAGCACACATAATATACACATATAATATATTGACCATGTTAAACATTTTGAACGTGTTATAACTATAATTTCCTCGATGACTCCATCGGACAATATATCAGTTACCAATTTGTGCATCGTGTTGTGTCACGAGTCACCACAATAGAATCCAACGTAGAAGATATCGCGATTTTAAAAAATAACGAATAATAATAATACCCATGGCAGGGACGGATCCGGAGTCGGGAAACTGTGGGTCAAGATTTACTTAACTTTCTACTAAAACGATATAATTTAAAATATAAATTATGAATTAAAAAATTTTAAATTTTGAATATACATGGCATTCATTTTTCAAGTAACTCCGATGGGCCAACTGTCCAAAAGTCCAAATCAAGGTCTAAAAGAGAAAAAATTTCCAAGATGCCAATTTTGTCAACAAATATTAACTGTGGGTCAGCTGACATCCTGAACCCCTCCCTAGATCCGCCCCTGACCAATGGGCATAACTTGAAAATGTTTTATGCGGGCAAATGTATAGTTACATATCAACTAGCATATATAATTAACCTTACATTACTTACTTGTAAATATATGTTAACAATACCTTTTGTTGTATACTATTTGTGTACTAGTTGTATTACTAAGTAAAAAAAAACTTTTTACTATTAGCTATAACCAGCTGTTTTGTAGTTATTTTAAAATAAGGTTTATTAAATATCAGAGGAGACACTGTCCCTCCTAATTATTATAGCGAGGGGAATTATCCCCTATCCCTTCCCAGTTTATGCCTACGATAATATTTATATTAATCAATATTATATTATGTATTATGCTTTTGGGGTCGCGGTTTACGGTGAGAATTTATATATTTTTTTCAACCGATTTGACTTGTCATCGACTATTATATGAAACATTTGATATAGTACATTCTTACATAGTGCGTTATTCGTACCAATTTGTTTTTATTAATATACTAGCAGACCCGGCGAACTCCGTTTCGCCACCAGATTCGTTTTATGTAACATTTCGTTTGGTGATTAAAAGATAAAGAAAAAAAATTTTTTTTGTTATATATTTGAAAAGGAAAATATTTATTTCATTTCACAACAGTAATAAATTCATTTCAATTACCTACTAAAATGAAGTGTTATTTAATTGTTTCATTGTAGTGCTCTTTGGTAAACCACATTTTTTGTTTTTTGGTCTGACGTTAACACAAACAAAGCGGATGGTTTCCCAACTCGTGAACACGCAACGTATAACTGTCCATGTGAAAAACAATGATTTTCCAAATTTATCCCGCAAACACTAAGCGATTGGCCTTGCGACTTATTAATTGTCATTGCGAATGCAAGGCGAACTGGGAATTGCAATCGTTTGAAGTCAAACGGAAGATCAGTCGGAATCATTGGTATTCGAGGAATACATACATTTTCACCTGCGTACTTTCCGTTAATAATGGTTGCCTCAATTAAATTCGGCATAAGTCTCTTTACCGAAAGTCGAGTACCGTTGCAAAGTCGCGGTGGATTCAAATTACGCAGTATCAAAATAACTGTACCAACTTTCAGTTGAAAGTTATGTGGTGGAAATCCTGGTATCTCCAGAGAGTTCAAAAACTCCGTTGGATAATTTACTACATCATCGGGATTTGTTATTGAATCAACGGATTTGTATGTCACCAAATCGCCAGCAATTTTTGATTGAATGGTGAAATTCAGTGCGTGGACATCATTATTCTTTGCTGCAAGAATTGCTCGTTGACTTAACCAAGCATAATTCTTATAATTCTCACTAATGTTTGGGAAAACATTTTCAATAAGAACTAATTGAGTGTCTACAAATCGGCAAAAGTCGTTGGTAAGAGTAATTAATCCAGATGTCGCATCAACTGGGACTTTTCCATTTCCAAGATCTAACAATTGTTTGGAAAATTGTGCAGCACTTTGATCATTTTGAAGTTGAACTCTCATATTAGTGGTTAGCGATAATGTTTTTACGTTATTCCATAAAGGTGATGCCTTTAGGCAAGCATTCAATTCATCTGCAGGCGTTCCACGGGGAACTACTGGCAACGTCTGCCTGAAATCGCCTGCCAACAATATCATCAAGCCGCCAAAGATGTTGTTGTTTCTCCGAAGATCCTTCAGTGTGAAGTTAAGTGCTTCAAGTGATTTCTTATGTGCCATTGTGCACTCATCCCAAACAATGAGCTTGCATTGCATTAACAATTTTCCCATTGCACTGGATCGGGAAATATTGCACGTTGGAGTATCAATTGTGTTTAAATTGAGTGGCAACTTAAGCGCAGAATGTGCAGTACGACCGCCATCTAGAAGAGTCGCCGCAATTCCAGATGATGCTAACGCCAAAGCTATGTCACATCTTGATCGAATAGTGGCCAAAATCAATGAAATGACAAATGTTTTCCCTGTTCCTCCAGGTGCATCCAGGAAGAATAGACCACCAGTATTATTGTCCACCGCTTGCATTAATGTTTTGTATACTTGTTTTTGCTGTTCATTCAGCAACGGAACATTATTTCTAACGAATTCCTGCAATGTATCAACATTGTATTGCAGCTCTCGATTTAATTCTTGGTTGAATGCATCGTGCATCGATCGATTTGGCGCAATCATTCCTACTTCAATCAGTAGCTTGTTTGCAATAGTCAAGCATTGATCCTCAATCAGAATCAATCCTTCATTGTAGATTTCATCGGTTATTTGGATGTCAGGATTATTCGTTTGAATACGCAAGCGATGCAAGATATCTTCACATATGGCGTCTTTGTATTTGTTCCATAACTGAATTGGTTGTGAAGGAAAACATGTGGTGATGATAATTGCGAACAGCGTTCGTATTTGGTACGCATTTGATGAAACAACTGAATCTGCAAGTGTTAAATCCCAATGAGAATCGTTCTCCAGCAAACCCAATAGTTGACATGCTTCTCGATATGTTTGGCATTGGTGGCCATTCACAGTTTTCAAATGCGCAAATGATTTCGGTCCACGTACATTTACTAACAGCAGTCTCAAATAAAAACATTCATCGTTTCTAGGATGAACAGTGTACATACGACCTAGTGCATCAGTTGAAAACACCTGTGGCCAGTCTGGAACTGGGGTTCCTTGTTTGCGACGTTGGAATTTCTTTGTTGATTGATTCCAAGTGTAATACTTGGGCATTTCAACGTACATCAGCGTCGCTGCGAATGGATCTGCTTCACACATTGCAAAGAAGCTAGTCAATGTTGTCGATGGTGGTCTCTCAGCTCGTTGTGTCGCATTAGCCTCAGTGAAGTAAACTCTTTGGCCATTTTCCAAATGCACTGCTAAATGTACAACTGTGGGATATCTTTCATGAATTTGAAATGACAATAATCGCCACAGTGCTTCATTAGTACTGACGTATCTGCCCATTTGGAAGTTGCTGATTTCGTCATTCACATTTTCCGACGCAATACCAAACACAGCCATGTCGCTGCCTTTTGTGACGTACTTGCACAAATATTTGATTGATTTGGCCGAATGACAACTCTCAACGTTTGCATGTGTTTCGAAAATTCGTGATAGCAGCGGGCAATATGGTACAATGAATTCATTTCCGATCTCAATCTCTTGATTTTGAACTTTAACTTTGATAGTTCGACCGTTATCTTCTTTTGAACGCCGACGATAAACTGGATATCCATCGTTCCCTGTGACTGTTTCAGCAACTAACGGTCGCGGATATCGTTTTGTGCATTTTCCATCAGCCATGCAAGGCGATAATGGATTTAATGCACCGCACGGTCCATGCACCATCTGTGTCGTCACAATGTCGTGTAGACGGGGATCAGTGACTGGATCAGGAATTTCAGCTGATATGATGTCATCCACTTCATTTGAATGTAATTTGTTCAGCAACCAAATTAGGATATGAGCATACGGTAGTCCACGCTTCTGCCATTCCACCAAGTACATATAACAACGTGTGTCACCAAAAACTCGATACTTAGTAAGCACATCCATCATAACCTTGAGTTTTTGCTGAAATACTCTGGCGATTATGTCATGGCGATCTTGCGGTTTTTGACCCGGTTCCAACTCGCGTTCAATTTCCGTCCACTTCGGATTGCATGTGACCGTAATAAATAAATCCGGAGTTCCATAATTTCGCACGTACGTCATAGCGTCTTGAGCGTATTCGTGCATGTGGCGTGGGCTTCCGATATAAGTTGATGGGAGAATCGTCAGTCGTCCAATATTCTGAACATCACCATCTGAATGAATAGCATCACGCAAGTGTATATAGTCCTCAGATCGTAGCTTTGGCTGATTGAATCTGATGAACGCTAAACGTTCGGTCTCGACTTTGACATACATGTCGACAGCGAATTGCTGGAATAGCCGACCGCACTTCAGAATGACATTCTCCTCATGTGTACGAATCATCATACGATACGCATAGTAATTCATTGCGCTTAGATTTTTATTATTCGTTGATACTCCTGAAAATGCAAAATTAAATGAATTGTTAATGGAAACCAATAAAAGTAATCCAACCGTTTCTCTTTTGAACTTTACCGCATTGCAATATCGGCATATAGTCGTCATTCGTCCAATATCCAAATTTTCATCATCACTGTAGTTCGCAGTGGGATCATATTGGAATGCCAAGCGATTGTATGATGCCAATGATCTTCGTGTGCTCACGCGATGTCTCAATCGGTCATTTTCTCTTATTATATTTTTTCTTTCTTCTCTTAAGTTCCTTGAATAGACTTGTTGCTGGCTTGCATGTCTTGTGCGGCGGCCGATGTTCGCACGTCGTTCTCTAGGCATTTTGGACTATGGACAGAGTGTTGAATTTAACTTCAAATGCACGATCCACATAATTTACACTGAGCTTAAATGAAATTAACTGAGCAGAGAATAATGACTATCTATCACACACTTTATCACGCACCGTTGCTATTGGTTTGAAGTACATGCTATGTATAATAGATGGCGCTGTATGTGAAAAACGATTTCCCCACTTTTCTGTTGAATTTTTCCTGAATTTTCCAGAATTTTCTTTGCTATAAACCTCACGGAGCCCAAGACCTTTCCAACGAATGCAAAACCGTGGAAATCGGTTCGTGCGTTCTGGAGTTATAGCGTCAGGGAGGAAAACCGGACTTATTTGTTTTTATTAATATATTATTCTTATTCTTAGTTGGAATCCATCGTTAATTTTATTTCTTAGGCAGGGGGAATGAAAATCAAGTCGAAGAAATGTTTTCTAGTCTCGTCGCTGTTTACAATATCTTTACCCAGGACATTAACATTTTGCACGATTATTTTCCTAACTTAAATGTACCTTCTCATCAATGTCAGATTTAGTGGAGTGCGCTGGTTCTTCAATACTAATGTTTCTTTAGGAGATGTAGAACCTACATTTTCTTAAAGGATTAAAATGACATGTTATGATTTCATAAGATGTATATCGGAAAAATGTAATCAAATATTGAATAATGAATGTTCAACAAAATATATAAATATTAAACATAATTTAAATATTGTTCATTGGACATTGATTTATTGTTCACTTGTCCATATCAATATTGTTGTTCCGTATTTTCTTTAAAAACTTTTTATTTATTTATCTTTTTTTGATGAACAGAACCCTTTATAGTAATTAAATACATCAAAATTTTAATAAACCACAAAAAAATATATATATATATATATGTGTGTGTGTATATGTATATTTAATAATTATATTGTTTTGTAATATATTGATGAAATAGATAAGATTAAGCTAATTAGTTTTTTTTTCGAATTGGCCTCCGATCAGTAGTTCCGGAGGATAGGGCATCCTCCAGATAGTTAAATTTCTCAGTTTGCTCCCCATCCGACCAGTACGCCCGCTCGCTGATGGGCAATACTATTAACGCTCCTCGGTTGGTTAATTGACGAAACCGTTGTCGATTTCTCTCCGGATCGGCTCGCTTTGGTAGGTCAAGTTTGAAATGTCTATCTCTCGCTACGACCGGCATACATTTACCCCTCGGGCCTTTGTGCTTACAAGCGCAGTGGATCGTGCGGGCAATCGCCGATCAATAATGATTATTAGATGCGACGCGAACCGCTAACGAGGATCCTCCTCCGACGACGACAACGACGACGCATAACGATCTCCATCCATCGAGCTCAATTATTACCATTATAACGTCATCGCAAGCAATCCGTTGCACACTCGGTCGCGCGACCCGTATATACGTAATATATTGTTGTACAAATATATATATATATATATGTAACTGATGTAAAACAAACGATTGATCTCAATTCAAATGTGTATATCAAATGTACTATTTACTTCCAGATAACCTATAACGCAGTCGAACGCGTAGTGCCGCAGTACTAGTCTCGATCGCTTTTAAAACCGAAGTGGTCGCAACAGTATAATATACCATGGACGTTCCAGATAATCAAATTCTAGGAATGGAAAAAAAGCCAAAGCTGTGCTTTAAAAGCGTTCAGGGTACGTGTGTGTAATAACTGGACACCTTGTCCTTAAATCAAGTGCATTTTTCGACACTACAACAGTTTTATGCTTAAGTGTACCGCGGTTTTTTTTTTTAATTTTATCTTTATTTTATATCCCCCGTTAGACATGATACCAGCTCGGGCAGTATTATATTTGATGTCGTTCAGCGGATTCTTGGTCAGTTTCATGATGCGTACTGACATTAATATTGCTATGGTAGCAATGGCCAAGATGAGATTGCGACCGGAAAACTCGTCGAACGTCACACAGCTTTCCTGTTACGCGTCCATTACGAATGGCACTCAAACAGTCGAGGACCAAAAGCCTATGGTAAAGTATACAGTATAGTTATCGACAATATAACAAGCAACGATTTTATTTTCTCTATGCGTTTTTACCGTGGTGCAATAACTAATATTGAAATGTATTCTCACAACCCTAATGCCTAACTAAAAATGTTTTTTTAATTAAATAAAAACGTATTGTTCGTGTATACTTACGAATTGTACCTACGTGATAATACAGTGCGTTTATCATTATTAAGACTGTGAATTTAATGCACTAAAGAACCTTAAAAAATGCATTAAAAATGCCAAAAAATGCAATAAAATACGCATTTAAAATGCAAAAAAAATGCAATATAAAATGACAAAACTTATAGTTTAAAATTAATTTAAAATGGTTTTAATTTAATTTTTACATTTATATTAATATTATGTACAGAATATAAACATCAGTACATTACATGCATAAAAAAGTGTTTATTTAATAAAAAAAAATTAATAAAAATGTTGATTGATATTTTCTATACTTAATGCTATTCACCTCAAACATTTTTTTAAATTTATTTTTTACTATTTATTTTGTTAAAATAATAAAACAAACTTAAACATATTTATTTTCGGGTACCTTTTCATTTTTAGTCTTTAGAATTTAATTAAAAATACTGGAAAATGAACTAAAAAAGGAAAATATGAACTAAAAATGCACCCAAAAAAATTAAAAACGTCAAAAAATGCAAAATAAAAGTTGCATAAATAGATTTGTAGTTACATAATTCGAATTATGTATTTACAAAGCTACGTTTTACAATCACAAAAAAAAAAAAATGTACTTTCCTACAAATTCACAGCCCTAATCATAATAATAGCATCCGTTCTCATTTAAACGCGTGCATTTCCAGGAAGAAGGTGAATTCGACTGGGATTCCACTGTCCAATCGGCAATCCTCGGTTCGTTCTATTGGTGTTACATACTGTCACAAGTGGTCGGCGGTGTTTTGACCCAACGTTTTGGCACGAAAACAGTATTTGGATTTTCGCAACTGACTACAGCGATCGCCTCGTTGCTCATACCTCAGGCGGCTTCATTCCATTTTTCAGCAGTCATTGCATTACGATCACTACAAGGAATGGCGTCAGTAAGTATGAACCCATCTAGACAAGTAAAACACGCATATTTTTCACCGTGTAAATACAATTTTGTACCTATCCATAGGGGCGAACTGGTAAGGGAGACAAAGGGGCAATCACCTCCTGAGCCTCGATAGTGCCATATTAATAAAAATGTTATGTACTCGTATACAATATGTAATATATGTTTTCTATTTTTATTTGTATACAACATTATTGTACAAAATAACAAAAAACAGAATTATCACTAGGTATCAACTAAAAATATTTGTTGAAATGTGATAATAACAGGTCTAGTTGATTAATCTCCGAGGCTCCTTTATGCCTAGTCCGCTCCTACGTACAAAATGAATTTGATTCCGTTTCAATTATCTCGAATAGTTATTATTTAAATTGGAAGTCTTTAGGCACTGTGGAACAACAGAACTCTATTCGTAAAACAATTTCGTTATCTGTACAGATTATGTTTTCAAATGAAAATTAAACGGATGTGGTTATTCAAATTTTTCAGAGGAAAATTGTAAGTAGTTTTCAAGCTAACTATGAAAACTGCAACACATAAAACTGGTGTTATTGATCAATTTCTCATCTACAAGTAATACATTACATTGCAGGTCACAGGCTCAGAATTTGGACAAAGATAGAAGTATATAGGTATAACTCTAGGCTTGAGAATTATAAAATCCCTTTAATTAGTGTACAAATGACCTGACTATACTATGGTAATATTTGAATTACCGAGTTTTATAGAATCATTAGTATTGATATTTATATGTATGTATAATATTGAAAATATAAGCTTACTTACTTTATTTTATTAATATTATGATTTTCGAATATTTTAATTGGCTAATTAGCCAAACTCTAGAATCATTTTTAGAATGTGACAGTTGAACACATTTTCTGTGCCTTCTCAGATATACTAGCAAAATCACTAGGCTATGTACCTACCTAGTATAGGATTAATATTCCTACATTCTAAGGTTTTTAAGGTTTTAAGAGTGCCAACTTGATCAAAAAGTAAAGTACACCCAGTTTTAGTATTATTTTTGATTTGCACAGTTTGTAATGGAAGTTAGTACAGTCAAATCTATCTATACACTATAAAAATTTCTTTGCTGTATTAGATTTTGTTTATATAAGTATTTATAATGGATTATCTTAAAATGTTTCCAGGGGCTTACTTGGCCTGCAATGTATGCACTTGTTGGTATATGGATTCCATCCAACGAACGAAGCAGGTTCATGTCATCATTCCAAGGTATGAATTTGTTCTAAATTACAATGTATGCTTTAAATAGTATAAGGAAATATGCCAGTTTGAAAAAATAAATTAAAGGTCACTTTGAAGTATAATAAACTGGGGTATTTAATTTGTGATCCTCATATAATTAAATAAAACCATATACATCGAGGAACTTTTGAACTAAAAGAATGTTTAAGACATCTCTGGCTACGGGCCATATTGGATATTGAATTTCAAAAAATGTCCCTTATACATATTATTTGACATTACATGTTTTTATATTTTATTTTCATATACTTTATTATTATTTTATTATTCGTCAATAGAAATTCATATTGCATATTTATGTATAATGTATACATGTGTATATAGGTACCTATTGAGGTGGAACTAGGAATTTTTATGTTCGGGGAAAATTTTATAATTATGCCCTATCATAAACCACTAATCAAATACTTTTCTCTAAAATGTTTTTTTAATACTTAACATACAATCATACTTGTTGAGTTTTATACCTTATATTAGTACTTAACAAAATTAAAAATATTAAACTAGTTATTAATAACTACAAAAATTACCGGTGCCTACTACTTACGTCCGAGATTATTATCAGTAGATAATTTGCGTTCCACCAAAAAAGGTTCGAAAAAGGTCATAACCTATTTGCGTCCAAGAGTACCTTTTGAGACAGCCAAGTTGCGTTTCAGCACAAATAAGTCATAAACATAGCATAAAATAAGTATTACAAGTAATTAATCATATTTAAATAAATAAAATTTTACAAACTATTTACAGATTGTGTAAAAACATATTTATTATTATTAATAAAAACAGATCAAATTGTCAACTTTCAAAAAAATAGAAAATTAGATAAATTATAAAACTATTACTTATTTAAAATAATGTTGGCTGACATTTGAGTAAAACGTTTTTCAAATATATAAAAGCAGAATTTATTTTTTCTTTGAATTTTTTTATTTCATTATTTGAATGATTTTGATGATTTTCTATTCATTAACACACAAGTATTAATTTGGAATGAAATACTTCACATGCGTTTGTTGTTCGTTGTACACTAAACGAACATTATGCCCACATACTTGAAGGAAATTGAGCATTTTTAGATATATAATTGTCTAATATGCAGTCAATAAATTCTAAACATTTTTCTGGAACGATTGGAATGATTTTATAGACAAATACATCACTTAACATTTCTGGAGACAAAAATAGAAGACCAAAACAAATTCTAAGAAATAAACATATTTCTGATTTATTTTTATATTCATATAAAATCCAATATTTTGTTTTTTTTTTCTTTTTCATTTTCAAGCATTTTATGGTAACTAAACTTATATTCTTCAATTATATAGAATTCTTTTTTCACGCACAATTTGGAGCTAAACATTTTCTTTTTTTTAAATCATTTAAATTATAATTATAATATAATAATAATTTTAATTCGAAATCACGAACATTGTAGAACGGAAAGCGTGAACATGTACTGAGAAATGTGTAGTGCAAAATAATTGGTATTATTCTGATCAATTATAATATACGATATACCTATCAAATGAGCTCACTGGCCTCTTGGTTTCTCAAAGCATTCAGTTTTCTAAATACGGCTCGGAAATTGTTTGGCAACAAACGGACATTGTCATGGTACATAATTAATTTTATCTCACTGAAACTCTATAATAGCTGATAATATTAATTTATCGATAGTCGCAGATATTATATAATATATACACAATTTACACAATAATAATATTAATGGACGCATCTCGGTCATGACTGTTGGAAGAATAATATGGTCGAGTTGCGTCCCCAAGACGGGACGCAAGTTACCCGTTGAATTTACTACCTAAAAAATATACCTTTTTGGGGGACGCAAGTAGTATGGAGCCAAAATTACACTCTAAAATTTTACACCGGGGATTAATCCCCGTCTTCCACCCATTAATTCTGCCCCTGGGTACCTATATATTTATAATACCTAGGTATTATTGATGATTGAAATCAAGTTAGATTTAAAAAAATATAATTTATTAAATAATATAGTCATATTAGGGGTCAATTATTTTGAGGAGACATATGTTTAACATTTTTATTTATAGTGCTACCTACAATAATTCCAGTTACTACACAATATGCAGTGATTATGTAACGTTTTCTAAATTGTATCCTAAATTAAGATTAAAATGAACCTTTGAATAGTTATTATTTTTATTTTTTATATACCTATAATATTCAGAAAAAGTATTTAAGTTCTTAAATATTTATATGTTATTGTGTACTTGATTTATAATAAAATTTAAATTAAGAATAAATTAAAAAAATAGTAAAATTCAGTTTCTATTTATTACATTTTATTTGTTTATTTTGTATACATTAATTTGAAACTAAACAATATTTTAATAATTATGTATCAATAAAATGACGTAAACAAGTTAGATATTCTCTTTGTCATCGTTAAATTTTCTTTTTTTTCTCTCTACTCATATTTTTAATTAATTAATTAATTTATTTATTTTTATTTATTTATTTTTTTTTTTTGTAAGTATTTAATTAATAGATCATACATTTTTTTCATCATGTAATTATAAAACTAAACTTTAATTATAGTTAAGTAAATAGGTTAAGATGGTTAAGATGACTGTTAAGTATGATGATAAAAAAAAAATGATGAGTTTGGTGTTGATGTGCAGATGGGAGGTCGCAACGGGTAAAGAAGTATATTTATCTATCTGTCTATTTGTGATATATGTGTAACTGGCATCTAGGTTAGGTGGTAATTGAGCTGTTGCCTGGGTGACAGGGTTTAGTTTCGGGATCGGACTGACGTACATGGTGTGCGGCTTCATCATTGGAAACTATGGATGGCGAGTAGTGTTTTACATGAATGGATCATTGGGTGTTGCCTGGTGCCTACTATGGTGGTTATTAGCTTTTGATCTACCTCACAAGCATCCAAGAATCACTAGGCGCGAGCTGAACTACATCAACGCTAACATCGGAGATAACATCATTAACACAAAAGTAAAATAAATTACTACAATTTACAAATATCTAAGTATTATAATTTATTCAAAAATTGTTTTTTCATTATAAAGGATCTAAAAGTCCCATGGTGTTCAATCATGACTTCCATTCCAGCATGGTCCATCGGTATAACAACATTTGGCCGAATATGGGTTCATTATACATTCATAATATATGGTCCATCTTACATGAAGACGATATTAGGCTTCAGTATACAAAAAGTAAGTTCATTAAGTTAAACTTATTAAGTTACATACATTTAGAATGCCATAATAAATTGAACTACAGTAAAGCATTGTGTTTTAAATTACAGAATGGATTCATGAACGGAGCTCCATTTTTGTGCAGTTATCTTTCTTCTGTTGTGTTTTGTTATGCAGCTGATTTCATTATAGCTCGAAATCTTATGAGCTTAACTAATGTCCGTAAAATGTTTACAGCTATATGTAAGTAATTTTTCTAAAACTCTTCTATGTACAGATAGATAAAAATTATGTATATTTATATTTTTATTTTTTAGCTCAAGTCTTTCCAGGCCTATTAGTACTGACAATCGGTTATTTAGGTTGTCAAATCACATTAATTTTAGTAATTTGGTTTGTAGCAGTTACACTTATCACTGCTTCATATGCTGGAGCAATGGCAAATGTAGTTGATATTGCACCAAATTTTGCCGGACATATATTAGCATTTGCACAAACTATACATATGTCTGCAAGTTTTCTGTCCCCCCTTGCTGCAGCCATTATGCTCCAAGACAATGTAAGTACAATTTAAAGTTAGTTTTTACTTAATTTTATTATTTTTACATTTAGATTGATATCGCTTATTATTTTCTATTTAGCCAACATTAGAGAGATGGCGTAGAATTTTTGCTGTTACTGCTTGTGTATCTTGCGGAACATACATTATGTACCAATTTGGTGGTACAGCAAAAGAACAAGACTGGAACAACCCAAATCGCAAAAACAATTCAGGTTCTGTGAGAATATCACCAGAAAATAATCAGCTGATTGTCAACAATAAAACTGACCCGGAAAGAGGAGATGGTTAGAAGTTCATATGGAACATTCAAGGAAAAAAATAATGGCGTACTTAGGTCCCCCACATAAAGGGGCAAAATAAAATTATTTTTACAAACAATTAATGTGATATATTATATAATTTACAACAGAAGAGAAAATTAGCGCCGATTACACAATCGGATCTTCAATAAATCTCATCATTCCAAACAAGACAGTGTTCTAAACTTAATATTATATTTTATTATAATTTTAAACAAATTTTAATGTTTGTATTCTTAGCATTTTTAAGTATGTGACCTTTGTGTCCTCTAATACGAATTAAGTAGAGTAGATATATCAATCAATTACTATGTATATTTAAATAGGTGTTTTATTTCTTCGATTAAGTTATAGTAGAACATTAATTGAAATTTTCTAAAAAAAAGAAAAGAAAGAAAAAAGAAAAAAATTAACAAGTGATTGGACAGTAATAAGTTGTTATACCTATTTATTAGTGTAATTTTTTTCCAAAAAATTTAAAAAGCCATTTTAAAATTTACAACCTGATTATTTCTATACTTGTGCTCATATTTTTAGTTAAAATGTTATTTATTACTAGAAATGTAGATCAACAATGTGCCTTACCAGATTTGTTTTAGAAAGAACTTTTTGAAATCAGTGTATGGTATTTTTACTATGTTAAGTTTACATTATTTTATTGCATTTATAAACATACATACATATACAAATTTATAAGTATGTATATATAAATTAACATTTGAAAAAGATAAAATTTCTCATTCTTAATAAAAAGCTAAACAATTAAATATAATAGATCTAAACATATTTCTGCCATTAACAAATTTATGTCTTAATTTTTTTTTTTAATGATTCCTTAAACATTTCTATTAAAACAAATCTACCTCTATTCTCTAAGTATATTTATTTATTTTTAGAATATGTCTAGACATTGTATTTAATGATTTCTAACTAGGCAAATGTAGATTATATAGCCTAGACTAGAGCTATATGCTTGTTTCAGATTTTTTATTTTTATAAAATATATATATATATATATATATATATATATATATATATATATATATA